AAAAACTTTGAACTATTAAAGTACCATATTATTTAGGCTATCACCAAAATATTACTTAATCTATTGGATAATTTTTGCTTAATATTCCTATTGAAAAATGAAAATAATAGCTGACAGATATCTATATTAAGTGGCTGTTCACCAAGGTATTAAAAATCCTCTGACGTTTTCTAATATTTATAGAGTATTAGTGCATTGTAAAACATGGCAATAAAACATAAGTATTTTTCAATTTAAAGCTTAAAAATTTCTATGAATACATTGACACTTAAGCAGAATTTTCTATCTTTCCAATTTCGTGTTCTCACGGCGGTACTTTAATCGTTCGACGTCGTAAAGACGTTTCATAATAAGGTAATAAATCTTTTCCCGGAAAAGGGAAGAGAGGTACAAAAGGGCCTGACACGCGTAAACGTGGGATGTCCTTAGAAGCCATAGTAATCGAGTCTTTTTCCAAGATAGATCGAAAATGAAAGTCTATGGAGCCAGTAAATATAAGAGGCAATATCTCTAGGTGTAAAATTTAGCAATAGCACAACGCCTCTGGCAGACCATTTAAATTCTGGCGTTTGATCCCCTGATATACCTTGACTGATGGATTTATTAGTGGAGGAAGCGATTACATATCTTGAAATCTGTGACCTTTCTCACGAAAAGGAAATATACACGATACGTGTTTTGCGAAATTCGCTAACTTCGTTTCTTCGGCCGATTTGAGTTTGCTTCCAGTATCTATACTCTTCGCTTCCTCGTGGAAGGAACGTGCAGTCCATTGAGAAACATCGTTTTGAGTCATCTACCAGAGTCTGGAGATAATTATTAGCCAATCTTCGTCTTACCGTCGGTAAGACAGTCTTACATCTGGTTGCGTATTAAAGGGGCTTTTGTAAAATAACATTATCTATTTTTTCTTTATTAATCAAAATTTAGAATTCGAATATTAAATAAAATTTCATACAGATAAAAATCTGTAATTTATAGTGTTAGAACATATTTTAGAAATTTGGACAATGATTGGAAGACTTTTAATATATATATAATATTAATATAATTAATATAATTAATAGCTTGTATAGTTAAATCGGTGTTTAAAACGTTTAACATATACAAATAGAACTGTTAAATTATTGAAACAAGCGACTGTATACAAAAGAAGTAACTATAACTAATAGTGATCGTAGATAGATAGTAATGTATTTGATATTATTGATATATGTAATTTAATAAAAATAATCTTTGATGTCTTAATTTTGTTATGTAAAGGGGTGGAATTTGAAATCTGAATGGTTGTATAAGCGTAATGAAAGTCAGGTAAATACTACTTTATTGCCTTTTCCCTTCAAGAAATATGAGTAAGATATAAAAGCGTTACGGAGTAATTGAATTAAAGGATTTCATTAAAAATAAAGTAGAGGATTGAAATATTATTGGTACATATAGCGAGCCACACATGTATTAATGCATCTTTCCTAGATAATAGTATAATTTAAACGCACTACATAGATTCTTCGTTAAATTCTGCAATGATTATCATGTTTCAATTTAGACTCTTCTCTTCTGAAATTATAAACCTTAACACGAATTCGATAATACAAATATATTTTATTGCTACAATAAAAAAATCTGTACTATTAAAGCAGGCAGTGACATGAATATCTTTTTTAGATCTTTATAAAATAATGTAAATATTTCTCATTCTAATTCAACTTGAGAATGCTTTTCATCTTCACTTTTAATAGTGTAATAAAATAAAAATATAAATTCTGATGCCTTGAAATTGATGTAGACATTTCTTATTGAAGCTGATAAATTATTTCTAAACTTTTTGTTTCAAAGAAATCTATTTCATCTCAAAAAAACTTCGTTAATGTTCACAAGAAATTTTCGTACGGTATTAAATGTAATTTTGTTTTTGTTTTCTTGTTTGCATGTAAGGTAATACGACTGAAATTGTTCCGATAAAGAGAGAAGAAATTATCAGGTTACTCTTGACATTTAGAGCATGGTAATTTATATTGTTGCCCTCGCCCATCGTGCCATTGGCCTTTTGAAATTAAATCTGTCTTTGAAGTCCACCTACGGTTCTATCTTCCTTATAATTCATAATGAAGCTTAAGAATTTTTTAACATCGACGTTGAACGTGAACCCTTTTAAATCCTTATATGTGTGCGAACTGCAAATATACTGGGTGTTTTGCATGAATGTTATCATATGTTATACAACAAATTTTTATTCGAATATTTAACTTTTATAGGTTTCTTAATAACAAATATAAATAATAAATGTTAATTCCTATTAATACAGACAATCGAAAGTATATTTATCTGATATCAAAATATATCGAAACATTAATTCTAATTAATAATTATATTTAAAACAAAACTTCTGCAAATTATTACCATATCCAAATATTTAGTAAGATGTAATGACGCTTTTATTGTTTAAAATTTGTTATTACGTAATTTACATTTATGTATATTTAATACCTAACTGTAATTAATACTTTTCCAACTTCAAAGTTTTTCATGTCAATTTTTATTCATTTATATCGATTCTAATTATTATTAATTGTCGATTAAAATTATTACAGACTTTACCAGATTATTTCATTTCCATAATCACAGGCAAAAAGAAATTTGTCGAAACTTGTTATCATTGGCTTCAAATACAAAATTTGTTAGTTACTATCCATTAGAAACATTTGAATAAATTATATCGATTCGAAAGAAAATCCTTTCCCTCCACATCTTAATTTTCTCGCTTCTCGGAACATATAAATAAGAATGATCTCTTAATGGTCATCAATCTTGAAGAGGCAAAATGACTGACCGCATACATCTAATTTACACTTCTTCAAAAATCGCTCACCCACGAGAACAGCTGATACTTTCCGCTCACACAGTATAATTCGTATTGAAAAATTAAATATACGGATATGAATTGATAACGGAATTGGTGGGTCACAATTTTTCACGCTCATTAAACGACGATCAAAATG